GGGGGGGGGGGGGGGGGGGGGGGGGGGGGGAGAGGGGAAATTTAATCGGAAATAGCTGGAGTGATACGGCCATCGGCTGGCTAGACTGTCTATGGTTTTTTTTTTCGAAGTCTAAGTCTCCCGTTCCAGACTTGTTTCCCCCGTCATTTATCGGATATTAATCATGTTATCGATTATGTTCGCAAAATCTCCATTGCAGAGAGCTTTATTTTTGCATTCTGTGGGTCCAGTGGTGTCGGAGGAAAGGGCTATTATTGTCACTCTAAATTTCAATAAGTAAATACTTAATAAAACGACCGTAGTATGACGCATGCCTGATTAAGCAATTAATCTTATTTGAAGAAACTTGCTGAATTCTCCTGGTGATCTTGACTACAGGAAACCGTTTTCTGTCAGTCTTGCAAAAGAGAGATAATAAGTCATTGCTTGAGCAATTGAAGTGTGGCTTATATCGATAGTTTATCTGCACAGGCATACTTTTCGAACTGATATCTCCGTCGTTTCAGACTTCGAAAGCGGGAAAGATCGCTTATGCTGCAGTCAAGGAGCATTATCCGGCGGTTTTCAAGGAGACTTTGGCTTTACAGCTGGAAGCTACCTATAGGAGAAATGTGGAACTGTTGGCTTCAGAAATGAAGCGACGTTTGGATTATTTGCTGGAGACGCAAGCTGTGAAACGAAGCTTTGCCCGTGATCACATGTTGAAATGGATCATTGAAGCGGTTACTTCTTTTTTTTGGCGATTTATAGCTCGTTAGTCATTGGGGCACATTGCTGGTACTTATGTGACCGAGAATGAGGCCTCAGTGAGCGTTGATTCTGAAGTGAGCGCTTTGTTTTCTGGGCCTGTTATTCGGTTACTGGTGTTGAGAAATTTACGATGGTACCAAAAAGCCTGGATAGGTTTGTTTATATATTACATTTGTATTTTATATAGTATTCACGAAAAGCACAGGACAGTAGTTAATCTGGCTTTAGGTTCGAGCGGAAATTATTGCGAATAAAGAAAACATCAAGGAGAAATATATGGATAATTGCATCGAACAGCTGAAAGGGATA